AACAACGGTCCAACAGCTCCAGCTGACCGGTGATTCTGAGACGCTTACGTTACGCACAGTGCGGACAGACATCACACAGCTACAAGGGTCAACGGTCAACATTGAAATCTCCCCCAAAGATAACCCACAAAAGTGCTACAAAGTGCAGGGAGCCTTTACAGCTGCAGGCCTAGACCTAGTAGAGCAGACCTACCCCACACAAACACTCCAAAGACGACATGCTCACCTGCGAGGAATCCCACTGAAGCCTTTTTTTAATGCCAGTCCAATGGTGCTGCTTGGATCAGATCATGTACATCTGATTACTCCCACAAAGCCGGTACGTAGAGGAGCTAACAGCGGACCTGTTGCCATCCATACCGCTCTTGGATGGGCTTTGCAAGGTGCTGAACGATGTGGATCTCAGGAAACTAAAGTGGAGCAATGTCTTTTCACCACAGTTGTTCCTTTCAATGACCTCCTGCCGTTTCGCAACGAGAAATTGGTAGTCCGTTCCCGTGAGGACCAAGAAGCCATGAACCTCTTAGAAACAAAGACGCAGAGAGTCAACATTGAAGGAGTTCAGCGCTATGCAACCCCTCTCCTGACAAGAAGAGGAGCCCCTAAACTGAACAGTACAACTCATTCTGTCATAGCTCAGCTGCGAGCCACAGAGAAACGACTCAAGGAGGATCCGGAGAAGGCAGATATCTATTCAGAGGAGATTGGCAAGCTCATCCGGGCTGGTTACGTCAAAAGGCTTCTGCCTAACGAAGTGAACCAATCTGAGGAGGCATGGTACCTCCCCCATCACCTTGTGTGTCATAACAAGAAGTCAAGACTGGTCTTAAACTCCTCTTACAGTCATCAGGGTTCCTCAATGAACGACCAGCTGCTACCTGGACCCACTCTGGGACCTTCGCTACTAGGTGTCCTTCTACGATTCAGACAGCATTCGGTTGCCGTAAGTGGAGACATCCGTGCAATGTTTCATCAGGTTCGTCTTCTGCCTGAGGACCGATCACTCCTCCGGTTCATCTGGAGAGACATGCACAGCGAAAACCCACCAGATGTGTACGAATGGCAGGTGCTGCCATTTGGCACAACGAGCAGCCTTGGCTATCAATAACGTCCCATTCAACATGCAGCGCTGACCATGAGGACAGCATATCAGGTACTGGCCAGCCAATATGATCCTTTGGGGTTCATTGTGCCTTTCACTACACGTGCCAAGGTACTCATTCAGCAGCTGTGGTCCAAACAGAGAGGCTGGGATGACCCGGACCTGCCCACAGGCCTCCAATAAGCCTGGGAAACATGGAAAAATGAGCTACAGCACCTCAGCAAGGTATCCATTCCCCGATGTTACTCGCCAGTCTCTGTGGAAGAGGCGGACGCAGAGTACGAACTCCATGTCTTCTGCGACGCGTCTGAGAGAGCATATGGAGCAGTGGCCTACCTCACAGTACAGGTAGCAGGCGGCATTCACACATCCTTTGTGATGGCTAGGTCACGAGTAGCCCCCAAGAGGCAACAGACCATACCACGCTTGGAGCTCTGCGCTGCACTAGCAGGAGCTCAATTGGCCAAGCTTGTAGAGACTGAGATCACGCTCACTATCCATCAGACAATCCTCTGGACCAACTCCACCACAGTACTGGAATGGCTCCAATCAGACTCTTGTAGATATAAGGTGTTCGTCGGAATCCGTGTATCTGAGATTCAGGAACTTACTGATCAACAAGCCTGGAGGTACGTGGACACCCGGAGCAACCCAGCCAACGACATAACCCAGGGTAAGACTCTCTTGGAGCTGGTGGAGCCAGGTCATTGGAGTCAAGGGCTGCCGTTCCTTATGCAGAGCACTGAACACTGGCCAAAGAAGCCTGAGCAGGCTACAGCAGTGACTTCAACCGAACTAAAGGGCATCACATTTTGCGGCCTCACAACAGTGGAACCTAAAGACAATCTTCCTGATGCTGCTCAGTTCAGTATGTGGACCGACCTGGTGGAAGCCACTCGTCAAGCAAGCCAGAAGGCTCAAGGGGCGGCCCAGGGTTTGAGATATCACCAAGCTACAAACCCTCAGGAAGCAGAGACCCTTCTGCTGAGGAAGTCTCAAGCCCATAGTTTCCCAGAGGAGGTCACCGCTCTCAAAGCACAGAAACCTGTGCCAAACCACAGTCCCCTGGTGAGCCTGGCCCCAGAATGGGACCCTTCAACCTGTTTGGTTCGAGTAGGAGGGAGGCTGCGAAGGTTGCAGAACACAAGCCTAGGAGAGATCGATCCGATTGTGCTCGATCCAAAGCACCCAGCAACAAAACTCCTTATCAAACACATGGATGAACGTCTGCTACATCCAGGTACGGAGCGGGTGTATGCAGAACTACGAAGGCAGTATTGGATCTTGCGAGGACGACAAGCTGTTAGACAACATCAGCTCAAGTGTTCATCCTGCCAACGCTGGCGAGCTCAACCTAAGGTCCCGCAGATGGCGGACCTCCCACCACAGCGCCTGCGGCTTCTCTGTCCTCAACCCGCGGAATCCACATAGAACTTCTCAACTCTCTGGATGTAGATGCCTTCCTTCTTGCCCTTCGGCGGTTCATCGCGAGGCAGGCCGAAAGAGTTACTCTCCGACTGCGGTACTAATTTCCGTGGTGCTGAGCGGGAACTTCGTGAGGCTTTCGCAGCCATGGAACCACGGCTGAGGGAACAGCTGACGGAATACCAGATAGACTTCAAGTTCAACCCACCTAGTGCCCCTCACTTTGGTGGAGTATGGGAAAGAGAGGTCCGTTCCATAAAGGCCGGCCTTCAAGTGGCAGTTGGGAGCCAGTCAGTCTCTGAAGATGTCCTCTACACAACCTTAGTAGAGGTCGAAGGGATCCTCAACTCAAAACCACTAGGGTATGTGTCAGCTGATGTCGCTGACCCGGACCCCATCACTCCTAACATCCTGCTCATGGGGCGGCGGGATGCCTCGCTGCCTCAGGTGGCCTATGCTCCAGCACGCATAGGAAGACGGAGATTGTCAAGCACTTGTGGACCAGTTTTGGATCCAGTTCACACGGAACTATTTGCCCACTCTTCAAACACGGCAGAAATGGCAGAAGGTCGTTAATAACATTGCTGTTGATGCAGTCGTTCTGATCGTTGACCCATCGCTTCCCAGAGCTCAGTGGCCGATCGGGAAGGTTTGTAAGACAGTCCCTAGTCATGACGGATGTATCAGGACTGCAGAGGTCTTGGTGAACGGTAAGGTCTACACCAGACCGGTAGCTCGTCTAATCCAGCTCCCTGAGTTCAAGTATGATGCTAATGATGCAAAAAAGAATTCCTGTTATTACACATTTGCTGTTCAAATGTGGGGGCGGCTGTTGTGAATTCTTCACGAGAGAATGTTGACGGCTTTATTTTGAAATTTTATTTTGACAGCGCATGCTGTTTCCGCTTCCGGTACCGCGAATAATACACACTACGCGACACGGACAGTAGATCCGTTAGATTGAGTCATTGATGATGTAAGTTATGTTACCTCAATTTTGTAGTCATCTGCTCACACTGTTAGCTTAGGTGTGTTCACTGTCAGTGTTAATTCTGTAATGTAGCCATTCCATAATCGTTCAATGTTGAGCTAAGTGGCTAATCTGGCTAGCGAGCCTGCATTATTCAGTTTGCAATTTGTTTTCTGTGTTTATTTCAGAAACTCTGACGTTCATCTTTACGTTCATCTTCCTGTCCACTATGTAATTCCTTCTGTCAATTGCCCACAATTTGTATAAGAGTCTCATAAGACTATTTTAGCCATGCATTGCCATGCCAAGCCCTCTGATATCTACTTAATCAAACCAAATTGTATTAGGAACATTTGTGCTGGTTTGTTGACTACCTTAATAGAGTATTCAATTTAAAAAAGAATGACGCCCTTAAACAACCTGTTAAGCGACTATGGAGAATAAAATAAAATATTTGAAATGCCCCCCACTCGCTTATTCTACTGCCCCAATGGGAATTCCTCATGCCATCTTCATTTTTCAGTAGAATGCAGTGATCCAAGCAAACAATTCTGAAACTTTTTTCAGAACCTGACAGTGATGCCCATTCTCTCCATATACATTTCACTTGCATCAAACCAAATTTTGCAACTCTCATAACTTTCCTAACAATCTCTGAGTAAATCCAGTATCCTCTATGCTTGATTGTAATGTGCACTGAATAAGAAATAACAGCAATCATGTTTGCAAATACATTAAATAATATAGAACCATAAAGATACAGCATATCTGAGAAGCCCACCTGCCAAATAAAACCACAGCAGTGGGATTCTGTGTGGATGTGTATTCACGAACAAGCAGAACAAACATACAGTGCGCAGCCGGGCAATGCACCAGAGACAATCTGCGTAGGTGCATCTACATGGAGACGAGAGGAGGTATTTGTAGGAATCTGACTGTGGGAGTCGGTGTGTTGGAATGGTGCCCACCCTGGGAAGGTTTATGCGTGGGGATAGAAACCTTGATTGAGGGATTGGTGACTTATGTATCATTTGATGATAAATGAAGGATTGAGTGAGGCGAATCATTCAGCAGTGTACAAGATGACATGAGGACAAGCATTGACAAGAGCATGGATCAAGTCCAATCATTATTGTCATGTCGTGCTGGAATCACAGCTTACTGTGATGCCTGTTTCTTCTGGTTCTGCAAGTGACAATGAACTGGTGGGATTGATCACAGTACACAGTTCAATGATTTAGATCTTCAGTAGTCCGTTGCCCTCTCACTGTTTGTCCCTTAATAATACAACAGCTGGAGATGGAAATGGTAAAGATTAAGTGCGACCTTATTTAAAAAAAAGAAATCCAACTCTTCCTTGGTCTTTGAGAATGGACTCTGAAGTCCTCTTCATTTGATAATGAAAGTGAGACTTTGATGGAGGCACGACTGGAAGTGAGATGAAGAAACAACATAAAGCAGGAGGGGATGAATAGGTGGGTTTCCAGTGAGTCGGCCTGGTACCTTGCGCTTGCGTTCGGCCCGTTCCCGGGATCGTCTCCTTCTCTCTCTGGCTTTCTCCAGAGCCTTCAGGTCCGGAGGTTGATCCATCTCCGACCGGGCCTTCTTAATGTGAGCTGCGGCATGAGCCATGGCTGCCCTCTCACCACTCCCGCACGAATAAAACCAGTCCTTCAAAGTACTCTAAAAACACTTAGTCTCTATAGTATAGATGCCGTCCCTCGATAACAAGCCTTACGCGGTAACCTTCGCTTTATGCCAAAGGACAAATCTCCACAAATAGATGAAAGTCAGAGGATTGAGGTAGAGCTGATAGCCTCTTGTCCTCTAACTCACCAGCTCTCCTCACCCATAGAGAGAGTGTCTGTAAAGCCTCCCTCCCTGCTGCCCGGGTAACTGCATCTGAGAAAAGAATAAATAGAGGAGGGGCTGGGCCGGTACCACCAAGAGGTAGGATAAGAGACCAATAGAAAAGCAGAGGAGCAAGAAATAGAAATAGAGGCCCCTCCCCTTTTTAGAGCTCAGGCTACAGGGGGAGCAGCAGATGCTTTGAACCTGGGAGGCCTCTGAATCGGACTCCAAATGCATGACTTCTTCACTCATAATACACCCAGGCGAAAACCGGGGGAGGGGTGTGTGTGGATTATAGTCAGGGAGGAGTTAAAGGAAACTGTATGTGGGAGGGGATTACGGGACATGGTAGCTTTAGTGTCTTTTGAAAAACAGCAAGGCAGGTACCACTTTTACTGGAGTCAAAGGGGGGGTGGTAGTCACAGTGCCTTCATCATTCCCTACCAGCAGGTCTGAATTGGTACAGTCCGTGTCAGCAACTGGGAAATTTCACAGTTCCGGAGCAAGCACACACACAGGAAAATTAGAGAATTAGAAATTAAGGCATTAAAATAATTAAACCACATGAAACTGAAGGATAAGGGATCATGATATGGAATGTTCACATGACTGCAGCAAAAACAAAATATTTAAAGCCTACTGGCTGCATGTACATAAGCTATATTGTGTTTAGAGGGGAAATAAATTGAAGTTACCAGGACCTCCAAGACTACAAGGTAGGATTAGAAGCAATGAATGTCCGCTCACAGCATAAAAACACTAACCGGGTGTATCACCTCACACAATCCTTCTATTGTGCTGAAATTACACTGCTGATGTTGTATTAAGAACAAGCTCATCCAGTGTTGCTATGAGCATTTGTAGAGCTACCGACATCCTTGGTGCAGAAGCACAGCAAGGGAACATAGTGGAAATTCACTGGCATTATTAGCATCAATGTCTTTGTTCAGACAGCCACCCACCATGAACCGTTGCACATAAATATTCAGCTCCAAATAAATTCCTGCCTTAATACTACAAAGGCATCGACTGAAATGCTGGTCTTTTCCAAGGCCTCACCCTTTTTCCTTTTTAATACAATGGCCCCACCGCATGGCCTGACCTAAAATTACAATTCAGAAGTTGCTAGTTGGCTATAAACTCCACATATTGAATATTGCTGCTCATTAAAATGTTGTGGCCTGAGTATCATACACTATTTGAAAGCAGTTTTTCTCCCTCTGACTGCTTCTTTAAAAGGTTTGCTTTCCATCTGGCAGGAGGCTGAGGTCCATCAGGCCTCCCGCCACACCAACAGTTTCTTCCCGTCAGCAGTCAGGCTCATCAACAGAGCCCGGTCCCCCACTGACTGACTCTGACATTCCACCGGTCACTTTCTTTCATACTGCACATGTCACTTTACTGTCATTTTCACTCATCACTTTGTCACTTGTTCGCTAGTGCACTTTATTTTTTAACATTTTTTAACTTTTTAAATATTTTCAATTTTTTACTTTATTCTCTTATTTTATACTAGCCCATAGCCTTATTCTACTAACCCATAGCATTAGCATTTCATTTTATTACTTGTGCACTGCTGTCTTGTTGTCTATTGTTACATTGTCTTCTGTCACGCACCAACCGCCAAGACAAATTCCTTGTATGTCTGACATATTTTGGCAATAAATGTTGGCTGATTCCTGGTGGGGTATTAATACACAATTTCACAAAATTGGGTTAAAATTTGACAAACACATGGGTGAAATGCATTTTTGTGTACCGAAAGTAAACAAATCTTCCACAGCTTTTGATGTTGATATGAATTTCAAATCCACACTTACCCCATGGATATTTACAGATTTTTTTTAATTGTCTATAACCAAACCTTTCAACATTTTCCCACAATAAATAGATAAGTGTAAATATATCCTATATGGCTGGTGGCAATTTTAGGAAAATGTTGATTGTACCACCATATAATTTATGTTGGAAACCCAACTTTGATTACTTTGAGACTTGGAAGGTGTTTGAAATGGTTACATCAGTACATTTCTCGTGAGTTTGTCATCAATATCACTATTGTTCCTGCTACAACAAATTAATTTGTTATGTAAAATATGTAAATAAAGATTAAAGCATCTCAAGCTGCTTCTACCTCCCTGGAGCGGCTGAGGCTACAAGCAGACCAGCACAACAAAGAGGCAGAAAGAGGGAGAAAAATAAATAGCGAAAAAGACACGGTGCAACACAGAACAAATGGTTTGAAAAACATCTTGTTAAGTGTGGAAATATACGTTTTAGCACTGTTCCCAACTTCAAAAATCTGTTTACAAAATGTGATAAAAGTTATATGTAATTATTTTATGATTTAAAAATCCTGTTCTTTTATAGTTTATATATTATTTTGCAATTAATTCAAAACACAGAATGGACCCTATATTGGTCTGGAGAACACTGCTGATTGCAATTTCAGGTGTCTTGTTTTAGACTATATATATATATATATATATATTATATATTACAGTATATATATAGGTAGAGCTCAGAAAGACAGGTGCCAGGGAAGACAAATGAAATAAGGGCTTCACTTATAGACCATGTGGTGAACCACGGTCTCTCACTGAGAGAGTTGAGGGTGAAACCCAATCTGGAAAGAACCACATCATACAAACAGGTGAGAGGAGTTTTTCTCTGCCTGGAGGTGGAAAGTGTTTGGTCACCACCCACATGACCAAAGGTCTCTTTTGGAAGCCGGATGTGAGGACACAAGTCCAGAGGACTGCCAGGGATGGATAAAGCTTCCAGAAGGTTCTTCCCCAGGTTCATGGCAAGAGAGAACATCAGATGTGATGTTGATGAAAACCTGTGGCCTGATGCTAGAGAGGCAGGATTAGCCCCTCAATTATTTGTTCCAATTACAGTATGTACTTTTAGTTTCTACCTTTTTTTACTGTAATTCCGTAAATTACTACAGACTATTGAAGCAAACTGCTCATTTTTATTTACCTTAAATGTTATAAAAATGTTAATAAATCATGTGAAAGAATGTCACACTCTTTGAAGAAAATATTACTTTGTATGAAGTCACTGAAATTGTTCAAACTGTAAAGATGAACAGTTAGCATTTTCTGTATTGTTGTTTGAAGCTGGTGTTTTCGGTTCTGAGTGACAGTGTGTGTTCTCTCAGTGAGGGTCGTGCACAGTGTTCGCTGCTCTGAGCCTGTTTTGAGCAGTGTGTTAGTCTGTTTCGATTTCTAAATGACAGTGGAGTCACATGAGCAAACTCTAACTACAGTCTGCACAGCAGCAGTTCATGTGGACCAAGTTGGTTTGTTTTTCATTGATTGAACACAGTTTTCAAAACTCTACACACTTATCCCATGACGTATCCACAACCTGCACAACACTGGATTTACAGCACTTTGTTCAAATGCTAACACACTGCTGTCAAAACTGTACCACACATTCAAAACGGAACAGATTTCAACCTTGTGCCTTTCAAACACTGATGACTGCAATTTCAGCTAAAAGGCTAAGCAGGCGTCTTGTTTTAGACTTGTGAACACACACACACACACACCCCTATACATAGGTTGAGCTCAGAAAGACCACTTGTGGAAATGTAACGAGGAAGACGGGCTGGTGGAGGGAGAAGGGCGGCAGGAAGAGGGCGGATGCGTGGAGGAAGACAACACAAAGAGCTGTTATTTCTGATGAAATAAGGGCTACACTTATCGGCCATGTGGTGAACCACGGTCTCTCATTGAGAGACGAAGGGTTGAGGTTTGCAACCCAATCTGCAAAGATCCACAGTGGCATCTGTAATGCGAATTTTCCACCAAACAAACAGGTGAGCGTTACATCCTTACAGTAAATGAGAACATTTGCGCGGAGTTTGCGGGAAACAAAAAGGACTTTAGTCAAAATGCAAAAACGCAAAAGGCCAACGGGCAAAAACACACAGGACCATGGGGCAAAAAGGCAGGCAGGAACGAGGAACATCCAGGACGATAGACAATGACGTGACAACAGACACACATGGCTAAAATACACTAGGGAGGTGCAGGTGATTGGACACAGGTGGAAACAATCATGACATGACAGACAATCACAGAGGAGGACAGGACAAGGCAGGAAGTGACATGACCCAGGGAGAACAGAGGCAAGAAACCAGACAAAATAAAACCAGACATTAACCCAAACCGTGACAGCCCCAAGTTTTTGTCATAGTTTGCGATAACGTTGCTTTTCACCACTCTGCAGCTGTCAGAGATTGGCACAAGCCTCACTGAGAGAACACACACTGTCACTGAGAGTAACACCAGCATCAAACACCAATACAGAATACAATAACTTTTCTTTACAGTTTCAGTGACTTCATACAAAGTAATATTTTCTTCACCAAAAAGAGTGACATTCTTTCACATGACTTATTACATTTTTAGAACATAACAATTCTTTAAGGTAAATGAAAGTTTGCTTCAATAGTCTGTAGTAATTTACAGAATTACAGTAATGAGAAAAAAAAGGTAGAAACTAAAAGTACACACTGTAATTGGAACAAATAATTGAGGGGCTAATCCTGCCTCTCTAGCATCAGGCCACAGGTTTCCATCACCATCACATCTAATGTTCTCTCTTGCCATGAACCTGGGGAAGAACCTTCTGGAAGCCTTATCCATCCCTGGCAGTCCTCTGGACTCGTGTCCTCACATCCGGCTTCCAAAAGAGACATTTGGTCATGTGGGTGCTGACCAAACACTTTCCACCTCCAGGCAGAGAAAAACTCCTCTCACCTGTTTGTATGATGGAAAATTGGTATTACAGATGCCACTGTGGTTCTTTCCAGATTGGGTTTCACCCTCAACTCTCTCAGTGAGAGACAGTGGTTCACCACATGGTCTATAAGTGAAGCCCTTATTTCATCTGAAATAACAGCTCTTTGTCTTCTTTGTCTCCCTCCACCGACCCGTCTTCCTTGTTCCATTTCCAAAATAAGTCGTTCTGAGCTCTACCTGTATACTGTAATATTTATACTGTAATATATATATATATATATGTGTATATTTATGTATATATA